GGGGGGGGGGGGAGTAGAACAAAGTCCTCAATATTTCTGAACGTTTTCAAAGAGGACAAGTTAGACTTGTTCTGTGTGACCTCTGTGGTCAGACCTGGGAATAATAAGTGAGGCTTCCACGGAGCCAGAGCTCAACCCAGCACGAGGAATAACTCCCCCGAGTTAAACCTGTTCAACATTTGTAACCGGTTGCATCGGGAACTCATGCAGGCCCTGCTGCTGGGTGTGTTTTAAAGGGAGACTGAACAGGCATGTATTATAACTCACTCTAGATGACCTCGGAAGGCCTTCCTCTGAGCATGTTGATGATTAAAGCATTTCTATACTATTTTTCAAAACCATAAACTTCTCAGCTTTCTCCTGTAATGTGTTTGCAGCCTGACTTGGCACAGTGATAGTCAATGGTGTGTATATTGCAGAACTTCTGTTTTGAACCTAAGTTGTACAAATTCTGATTTTTCACTTACAATGTGACAAGATGTTTAGCACACCAAGTTAGGCTTTGAGTATTTCTCTGAAGTGGATGTGTCATTTACTTGTGTATAATTCTTGCCAAAGATTACACTGAATTTGTACTATATTCCTGCCAATACTTTTTCTAAACCACATTCTACGATAAAATTTTTGATAAGTTTACAGAGGAATGTATCTATACAAGGGTACCTTGGAATGCTCCCTTTCCTTTTAACAGATTGTACTCAAATTTACAGGATAAATCTGTTTCAGGAAGGATATAATCTATTCACTTTCTGAGACCATATAATTAGTCCTTTAACTTAGTCCTGAGAACTGCCTTCTATTTTTGCCCTGTTTTTGTAGTATATATTCAAAGTTTTAATTTGTCAACATTATCAATAGAAAATTAACTGGATATATATTGTAAATCTCTAGTTTTCTATTTTAAAGATATTAAAAAGCATTTATTTTTGTTAGTTACCATCACTAAGTCTTTCTGACATTCATGAACAAAGTAGAAACAAAAAATAGGAAAACTTTCTATTTTCAGTTTTAATCCTCTAAAGTTTACCTAATAATTCAGTGGGCATACTAATTGAAAAGAAATACTTTATTTTTTTTTTTAGGTGTAATTCCTTTTCATGGATTTTCAATGTATGGTAAGTTGGGCTTGAAAATATTCACTGTTTTGTTACACTTTAGAACATTAAACATGAAGATCACACTTTATAGCGCATCACCACACACTGAAGTGATTGTGAACTTTTAAACATTGAGTTTCGTATTTGTTTATATGTCCAATGAAAAAAACAATGTCGTCATAATTGCTCAGCTGGTGATTGCTCGATAAACTAGAATTAAAACAAATTGAGACTCATTGACACAGACAACAGTATGATGGCTACCAGAGGGAAGGAGGGTAGTGAAGGATAAAGGGAGCCAAATATATGGTGACAGAAGATTGTCCCCACTATTGCTGCCCCCAACCTTTAGCCTAAACAGAAATACCTTAATGCTTTACTTTTGTAAAAAGAATCAGCAGTAAATTAATACTTTTCTTTGTAAAAAGGCCCTCAGTGTCCTACATCAGATAATCATGGTGAATGATGTAACACAAAACGTTGAAAACTAGCCTTCAGTGAAACGGAGTCAAGGGGCCTAGGACCTTTGCCTTATGCTCTCCTTGATGGTGTCAGCTGGGGTGACTGATGCTGTAATGTCATGTTGCTGTGCACATCAGTAGGCTGGGGAAATTGTGGATTATAGGGCGCTCTGCTTTATCTCTTATAAATATGTGAGGAACGTAAAATAGAAAACCTACAAAGGTTAAGGACATAAATTTTACCTCTAATAATAAAAAATGCTAGCCCTTTTGTCCTATTTTAATAATTTCACCTGTAAGCATTTTTCAAGCAAATCGTTTTTAAAAGGGGTACTAGAATGATTTGGAGGACAATTAATGATGTCAGAAAGTTTAAATCTTCTAACAATTCTCAGAGCACAAAATGCATCAACTCCTGATTGTTCACATTTCTAGTCATTGAAATAGTCTAAGGTTTATACACACAGGGAGAAAATGTTTGCTAAGGAAATAGATGATGCTATAGAGTTTAAGTATACTACTTTAGAAAAATATGTTAATTATCCACAAATACTTGAGTCGCAACCACTTATTTAGTTAGAACCAGTAGAATAGAATAATCATAATTCATCCCCCCCAGGAACTCTAGTTAGTCCCTTACCACTTCAGTTTTAGTTACTGTCTTTCTTTCAAATTATAATATGTATGTCTTTTAAAATTTGATTAAAACTTTCATTTAATTTAAACTTGTCTATGAATGAATATTACTATAAGAGATGAACTTACTCTTTCATTTTTATGAATTTATCTTTTAAGTTTTAGTAGTTCTGCAATATTACCAATGATTTTTTTATTCTTTCAGTTGCACCACTTTGTTTTCTATACAATGAACCTTCCAAATTGTATCAGATATTCCGTGAGATGTATGTGCGTTTTTTCTTCAGACTTCATTCCATCTCTTCTCATCCTTCTGTAAGTTCATAAAAAGCTGGATCAAATCAGACTCTAATCTGTTTTTTATCCAAGAAAAAGTCTCCTACTCAACTATAAAGCAACAAATTTTCACTTCTGGTGTCACCAACAAGGTTCTATCAAATAAACAAAAGAGAAGAAGAAACTGATATTTAAATATTTTGGTAATAATTAAAAGGTGGAAAGTCCTTTATCAATTGCATTTAAATGATCTCTTCTATGTTAAAAGAAAAACATAGAAATGTCTGTATTATCCTCTTTGGCAAAAATGCCCACCTTCCTTGAAGGCTGATTTCCTCACCTGTGGAATGAGGTTCACCTATGGAATTGTGTTTCTGTAGCCTGCAGAGCTGCAGCGAAGCCGACAGAGCACCCGGGTGGCACTGGCTCATGGCAGGTGTCCAATCAATGCTGCTGTTTTTATTGCTATGATTATCGTCATCACCTCTTCTTTGTTGTTAATTAAAATAAAAAAATGTATTTGTCACTTATTTTTCAGTTTCATGTTTGGCTAATTCTCAGTTATCATACTAGATATTTTTCTTGTATTTATTCAATAGGTAGCTCCTTTGGCCTCAATATGAAAATCAAGGAGAAGCAGATTGGGCATTGAACATTTTTATCTGTCTTATTTTGGCCGGTCCTTTGTTGTATCTTCTCCCTGCTATGAGCCTGAGTAAAAGCAGTGCTTATTTTCAGTTACACTTTTTTCCACCTCTGGGCCTGTTTTGAACAACTTGACTTACTCTCCAGAAGAAACATTAGGTTGGAATGTGTCGGGGCTACCAAATTTCCCAAGGCAACCGTCACCGCTGCTAAACTACATGGTTGTCCTTTATCCCCCCAGCAAACTGTATTCCTGTTCCCCTTCCTCCACCTCCAGTTTGCTCTCATGCATCACTAGTGACAGCTGGCAAATAACAGAAACCAGGGCGTCACCGATGCCCAAAGGGGGCACCACCAGTTACCCTGGTTTCTTCTCTCTCAGACACCTTGACTTAGTGCTTATCTTACATGAATGCTTAATCTAGAATCCTCTGAAATATATTAAGAATTCTCTTTTCTAATGCTTCATTCTTAGCATCAGATTTCTTACACTCAGATTCTATACCACTTTATGCTTCAGAGTTTTGACCTGGCTGCTCAGTACACACCCATGGGTTTTCCCCGTGCAGAGCTCTGAAGCTCAACACTGAGCCGTCTGGGTATTCCTCTGTCTCCATGCTGACCCGGAGGTGTCCTTTTTCAGCTAATTGATTGGGCCAGCCCTGCCTCTGCCCTTTCTTTATTCCGTGGAATAAAGACTTAGAAGTGGCCGGCTCCTTTTCTGGCTTGCAGCTAGACTGAACTATTTGGAACCATTACAGCCCTTTTTCTTTAGAAATTCAAAAAGAGGATTAAAAGTTCCTTACCAAAATCAACCCTGAGGAATGCTGAGCTGCAAGAAAGACTTTATTCAGAGTTGTCAAGTAAAAAATGCACTTGCAAAACCATCTGCTTAAATTGGTTACTTCCCGTACTCTACAAATAATGCCCTTTTAGGAAAGTAGATTTCAATAAAAAAATAATCTTTATATGAAATAATACAAAATCGTGTTTGATAACTTTCTGGTGCAAATCTCAAGCAATCAGCAGTCAGTCTTTCCCTGTGGATGGATTTCAAAGAAAGTGGAAAAAATCAGGAAATTCTTTCCCTGATGGGTGAGGCAGCTGGCAGGGAAGAGCTGTGTGGGGGGAGAAAGTAAAGGGTGTGGCCGAGGCACCAGAGAAATACCTGGAAACTGGCATGCTTCCAGAAAAAACTAATTTGCTGGGCCCAAGTGATAATGCATGGCTTACAAAGTGGCAGCTTTTCTATAAAACGATGTTTTCTTTGGATTCTGAATATTACATACCAAGTTATGTGGGGAGCCTATTGTGTTAAAAGGAGGCTCCATTGCATATCTGTAAGAGCAGGTTTCCATAAAGAGGGATAAAATGTATCTTTAAATACAATGGTGGAAATCATTAGTGTATGTCCTGTTTTTGACTCTTAAACAATATAAAAAAATATGTTGACAAAAATATTTATGTTGATACTGGTTTTCTCATTTTCATTTGAATAATTTATCAGCAGAGTTAATTTTTAAATACTAAAATATGTATTCCTCTTGTGACTTATTATTGTTTGCAGGGTATTGTGTCACTCTGTTTGCTATTTGAGACTCTTCTTCAAACTTACCTCCCCCAACTCTTTTATCATCTACGAGAAATTGGGGCTCAACCGTGAGTATTTTTCTCTCCTAATTGAAGAATAGATTAGTTGACATTAGAAGGTTCCTTTTCATCATTGTAAATCACTTGCAAAGATGCAGTAATTTTTCAGAGAAATTAAACTAACAATTTTTCCCTATAAAACAATTATGAAGTAGTAAATTGTAAGTCTGCATTGTACCAAAAATTCTTGGAAGGATTATTTGCTAGGATTTTTGTGCCTGGTACAAGAATCACTAAAATGAACTAATTTCTATTCCTAATGAAAGGTGTTGGCCAAAAATGAAGCAAAAGTTTGTGGAGCAAATACTCCCTGAGAAATGTGATAATACTAAAATTAAGTCAGTTTAGCCTAAATTGATCAGAGAGCCCTTTATGAGAGCTATGTAAGTTTAAAATTTGCTGTCTTGTTAAAGGAAACTAAGTCAGTTACCTATCAATGGTTGTACACTGTGATTTTTCCTTCCAAAAGTTGGAATATTTGTTCATATTTCTCAATATGAGTTATCAGTGAATATGCAGGATACCTCTGTACTTAAATTTTATTGGTTCTCTTCTCTCTCTCTCTCTCTCTCTCTTTTTTAAATAACAGTGTATATAAGGCAACAGAAATTTCTAAATGACTTTACAATGTTTTGTTAACTATATTCTCTGTGCAACTATTCCCCCTTTCAGGAGGGCATATCTGAAAGGAGCACAAAAGGCGTTAATGAGAAATGGAACAGTTTAGTGTTTATCTTCTCCACACTTAAATCCACAGCAGATGGATGGATGAGTGGGTGGGTTTAAGAGAAAGACCCAGATTCAAATTCTAACTCTGCTAAATTGTATAATCCTGGTAAAGTTATTTAAATTATCTAAGTCTCAATTTCTTTCTTTAAATCAAGATAGTTTAAATTCCTCATTTTTTAAATCAAGAGAATTTTTACCTCATGCAGTTGTTTCATGATTGAATGATTAGATAGCTAGCTCGCTAGCTAAATAGATAGATAATATATAGATCTCTTTCTTTGTCTCTCTATTTTTTTCTATAAAGCACCATTGAATTTCAGACTTCTTAGATCTTAGGACTGCCATTTATAAAAACAACATCTCATATCATACATTGATAATACTAAGTTGATATTCTTTCCTTGGTAGCCATTAAACAGGAATCTGTTAATGATAAAGATTATAAAACAAGAATGTGATAGAAATATTGTATATTGAATATAACTAGACTTTACTAGAATGAAGACAGTTGATTGCTAGAAACTAAAATTCTGATATTTGATATTTTTTCTAGCCTATTTATACACTTTAATCATTAAAAGTAAATTTATTTTAATGACAGGATAAACATTAAAATTCTTATGCAGGAAAAAGTATAAAAATTCATTTGTCAAGCTAGAAATAAATTTTTTAAAAGCTTTCATGAATTAAAACTGATAGTGTTGGAAGGTTTTTAATTCAATATTTAATTTCTTTAATAGATATAGAACTATTCAAGTTACCTATTTTTTCTTGATTAAGCTTTGGTACTTGGTTCATTTTATCTGTTATTTATGGACATAAAGTTACTTATAATATTCCCTAATTATTCCCAATTAGCCTTTTGGTATCTATAGACTAAGAATGACTTCACCTCTCCCAATCCTGAGATTGATATTTGTATCTTCTCTTTCTTTTTTATTCTACCTAGAGCAATGGTTCTCAACCTTCTGGCCCTTTAAATACAGTTCCTCATGTTGTGACCCCAACCATAAAATTATTTTTGTTGCTACTTCATAACTGTAATTTTGCTACTGTTATGAATCATAATGTAATATCTGATATGCAGGATGGTCTTAGGCGACCCCTGTGAAAGGGTCGTTCGACCCCCGAAGGGATCGCGACCCACAGGTTGAGGACCGCTGGCCTAGAGGTTTACTAATTTTATTCTTTTTTGAAAGAGCCAGTTTTGGGTTTTGTTGATTTTCTCTATTGTTTTTCTGCTTTAAATATCATATCATAAGCTCTTATGCTTATTATTTTCTTCCTTATGATTACTTTAGGTCTATTTTGCTCTTGCCTTGCTACTTGTTTAAGATGAAAGTTAGATCAGTGGTTTGAGAGCTTTCTTCTTTTCTAATAATGTTATCAATTGCCCTCAAAGGACTGCTTTACCTCTGTCCAACAAATTTTGATATATTGTGCTTTCATTGTCATTTAATTCAAAATATTTCTTAATTTCTCTTGTGACTTTCTCTTGACTCTGGGTTATATAGAGTGTGTTGTTTAATTTCAAAATATTTATAAAAATCTATCATCTTTGTATTATTGACTAGAGGCCCGGTGCACAAAGTTCGTGCACTGGTGGGGGGTTGTCCCTCAGCCTGAACTGCGCCCTCTCACAGTCGGACATCCCTCTTGCAGTCCGGGACCCCTCGCTCTTACAGCTCAGCTTGCTGCTCCTTAGTGCTGCCGCAAAGGCGGGAGAGGCTCCTGCCACCACCGCTGCACTTGCCAGCCATGAGCCTGGCTTGTGGCTGAGCAGCGCTCCCCCTGTGGGAGCACACTGACCACCAGAAGGCAGCTCCTGCATTGAGCATCTGCCCCCTGGTGGTCAGTGCGCATCATAGTGACCGGTCATTCTGGTAGTTCTGCCGTAATGGTTGCTTAGGCTTTTATTATATAGACTAGAGGCCTGGTGCACCAATTCATGCATGGGTGGGGTCCAGTCAGCGGGGGGAGGGGGAGGGGGGGGCTGTAAGTGGTTGGCCAGCCAGCCCCGCCCCCGATTGGGTTTGGGGGGCCGATCAGGGTCAGGGCGGGCTGGGGGGAGGGAAGAACACAATGTGGTACTACTATTCTAATAAGATGCTATGAGAGATCCAGTAAAATGAGATTAGTTGAAGTTAATAATTTAGACTTAAAAATCAAATGAATTTAAACATTTTAAATATCCAGTGGCCAAAAGTTTCTTTGGCATCTCTAAAGAGTATTTTAAAACCAACCAAAACACCTCATTTGTCAATATTATTTTGTACTTTGTATTTTATTCTATTAGAACAATAGTTTTCTCTTTCATATTGAGAAATTTCTGAAACTTTGGGTCTTTTTCAGTCTTACAAGAATTAATATGACACCAACAAAGATGATATATGGGTCCCTTTCTCTTGCTTTAAGAAAATAGCACAGATATTTACCTACATAATAGTATAACAGTTCCATCAAAGAATTTGTCTAGCACCTCTCAGGGGCAGAAAAATGATGTTTATATAGTAATGGATAGTACAGAAGGGATCAAACCAAAGAGTTCATTTCCTGATTCCAGAGATAAATTGTTGTTGTAACATAACCTGATTATAAATAGTGGGCTCTCATACCTCTTAGGGTGTTTTTTGGGGGGAGGGGAGGGGTTGGAATTTAACTGTGTTTTCTGGTTGATCTTTCAGAGTTATGATAACCCCTCCTCTTTAAAATGAAGGGTTTAAAATCAGAAATCTATTTCTTAGTTCCCTTATAACTTTAAAACTATTTTTCTTTGTCTTCAACAATTCCTTTTATTCATCCTATGTAGCCATTTGACTGAGATGTAGGAATATAATTTATTGCGTAGGAAAATTATGCAGCTATCAAGCACTCTTTCAAGTATTTTGGAAAAAAATTTCCAGTGATCATGGCTTGCCTGAAACTGTCAAGACTCCAAGATCAATTCACTGATAGCTAATTAGTACATACCCTGAAAAATAGAAGGTAGAAGTGAGTCTTCAAAAGGCTGAACTGTAGCATAAAGGAGGATCAAGCAGATATAATTTTTTCTCTCAATACTTTGAGACCAATCATTTGAAGACTCATGGTGTTATAAATGCCCAGGAGATTTCTAAGATTCATTTAACAACAGAAGTGGTTTGGCTCTTCTAACCTTTTGTAAGATAGTGCCTTTTCGAAAGAAAAGAAAAAAACCACTGGTAAAATTTATTTTTTTTTCTTTGCTTACAGACTTCGAATATCATTTAAATGGATGGTTCGAGCTTTCTCTGGATACTTAGCTACAGATCAACTCTTGCTTTTGTGGGATAGAATCCTAGGATACAACTCTCTAGAAATTCTTGCTGGTAAGAGTAAGTGCTCATTTGTAAAATACATGCTGTTTCTATAGTAAAGCCCTTTTCCTTTCTAACATTCACCATCTGTAATTGGAGTTTAAGTCTACACTTATCTGTCATTGTTAATTCATGGAAGGCAAGTACTGAGGTTCTGTGATCTAGATACTTCTGTGTAACTGCCCAACACCAGTCTGTTCCTAGTCTTTCTTTTTGGCTCCCAGGAAAGTCCGTTTCTCCCCCTCCACCACTTTCAGTCCAACCAGGGCTTACCGTCTCAGCACCTGGCAGACCTGTGCAGCAGAGTGTAGGCACACACTCCACCCTGGATTCCTCTGACTGTCTTCGTGTTTGTTCTGTGCTCCATCTCAACTCCTGCCTGAAATCCTAACTGACACTGAGCGTCCCCGCGCTTCTGGACTTCAACTTATACTGAATTCAAAACCTTTTCCTTTTTGCTAGTGGTCTCTGACTCCTGCCCTGGTGGCTGAATTTCCTTTTAGGTATTCTCTTAAACCAAAAATATTTTATGGTTTTTTTTTCAGGAAGTCAGATTCACCTCTCATTTAATAATTTAGCAGTTCTTACAACAGATATTACACAAGGCAGCTGCATAACACATAGAGCACAGATTCTTACTGATTATATTATTGTGCTTCTCTTGTACAAAGTAGACTCAGTTATTTTTATCATTGGTATTATCAGAAAATTCAAATAAATATTACAAGGTTTTTATAACAATGGATGGAAAGCAGAAAAGTAGGCAGAGTACTGGGTACAACCTTCTCCAGTTGTGTGATATTGAATAAGCTATTTAACCTGTGTAAGCCTTTGTTTCCATATCTTATATCACTAGTATAGTAAGACACCTTTCTGGGCTGCTGTGGAAATAATGCTTAAGTGAAGATGTTTTTCTTATCAAAGGTTCTCTAGGGACCATATTAACATATTATTGACTGCTGAGAGGTCTAGAGTAATTGGGTGGCATTTTGAAAAGGAAAATTAGAGTAATAATAAAATGTCATAAAGAGAAATATCACCCCTGGTGTACTCAGAGATATCACTTACTGATGTTTCCTATCTCAATGGTTTTTAAAGCCCATCTAAATATGAGTAGGAAAGAATGGTCTACCCTCGTCTCCTTTGGCTGAATGAAGGGACACATATAAACTAGAGATAGAAGGGGTCTCAGAAGTCCTCAGGTATCACCTCTTTCACGCGTTTCTCTCCAGCAGTCCACATCCCCTGAACACTTTGGTGCAGGGTAGTCCCTGTCTTACCAGGTTGCCCATTTCATTTCTGGATGATACCACTTGCTGAAATGTACGCCCGGTAAACCAGGGTCATCGGCATGGTTTTTCTACTCTCAGAAACCCCTCCTTTCCCCAAAGTCTTCTGTTTTCCCAGCTAAATGGACTTGTTTTCTGCTCCCATTGCTCAGGCAACAGGATTTTAGTCTTTCCACCAAATAACTCTCCTCAGGGTGGGTCCTAGGTTTGGAAAGTATTGTATATAGCTTTTTGTCTCATTTCAAAAAGATATTAGTGTGTGTTAATGAAAGGGGTTCAGTATAAGTACTTTCTAATAATTAGGACTTTCCAAAAGTAGAATGGGCTTTTTAATTGTTACCTGAAGGGTTGAAAATTTCTACTATGAAAGAAATGCTGAACTAGAAGGCCTTCAAGGTCTCTTCCAATTTAAATTTTCTCTTTCTGTGACTTATCGCCCTTCAGGAAGCTGAAGTAAAAGAGGCATAAATTAATATTGAATACTGCATTTGCTCTAAGCAGGCACATGCTATGAACTCAATACCTTAAGTAAAAAGTTTCTGATGAATAGGTAGAAATTCAGTCCACACTTTTGCAGCCATCTACTCTTCCTGTGTGGTTTTTAAAAATCAACAGGGAAGAATTATAGCCCATGTAGAATAGCACTAGACTGAGGGCTGCTCCCACCATGGAATGCCAATCAAGAGCCACGGGGCAGATAATTTCAGGTAGATGGATACAAATTAGTTTTGATTATTTAAAATATTTTGTTATTTTTTTGTTATGAATTATTGGGATCCACCTTTTTTTGCTCAAATGAGTTATTAAATATAGTCCTTAGAAATATTTTAGTAAGTATTACTGGCTTTAGTTGTGAATTAATTAGAGCCTTTTGTAGAACAGTTTAAAGCAAAGGTGCCTTAATGTTCATGATAGAATTGCTTAAAATTAAAGTAATGAGAATAGTTTAAAAGACCAAAGTAAATATTAGCATTTCTATATATCAGATGAAACATGATTTCAGTTGAAAACACCCTAAAGTATAGACCTTTTCTCCCGGGCAAACAAAGCCGTGCTGTGGAAGGGCTGGGCAGAGCAAACAAGAGCAGGCAGAGAGGAACTCCTGTGATGCGACACCAAGATAAATAAAGGTTATGAGCACATGAGCACTCTGGGTGCTAAGGTCACTTAGTGACCTGCTCTTTCTTCCCTCCTCTACATTTGGAAAAACAATTTCCCGCCATGCAAACTCTTTCCTGTACAGCAGATCTGACCCTCCTGCCAACCTCTCACTGACTGTTAAATTATGCACAGAAGGGGAAGGCATGCTCACACGCCTTAGCTTCTGAATGTCTTCCTGGTCAAACATGGTTCCGGGTACTGGGAAACCATAAAGACGTTGCTGGTCCACATACATGGTTTTCTTTGATATTCTTGTAAACAAAGAAGCTCAGTGACTTTACAGTACTGAATAAGTCGTTACTGCTAACCCTCATGTCAGTAACATGGTGATTAGATGCTCCGGCCAGAGCCCAGGTGTATTCAGCCTACTGTTTTATTTTTTTTAAATTAAATCTTTATTGTTCAGATTATTACAGTTGTTCCTCTTTTTCCCCCCCATAGCTCTCCTCCACCCAGTTCCCACCCCACCCTCTGCCCTTACCCCTCCCACTGTCCTCATCCATAGGTGTATGATTTTTGTCCAGTCTCTTTGTGCACCCCCACAACCCTTTCCCCCCAAGAATTGTCAGTCCACTCCCTTTCTATGCCCCTGGTTCTATTATATTCACCAGTTTACTCTGTTCATCAGATTTTTTTATTCACTTGATTTTTAGATTCACTTGTTGATAGATATGTATTTGCTGTTCATAATTTTTATCTTTACCTTTTTCTTCTTCCTCTTCTTAAAGAATACCTTTCAGCATTTCATATAATACTGGTTTGGTGGTGATGAACTCCTTTAGCTTTTTCTTATCTGTGAAGCTCTTTATCTGACCTTCAATTCTGAATGATAGCTTTGCTGGATAAAGTAATCTTGGTTGTAGGTTCTTGGTATTCATCACTTTGAATATTTCTTGCCACTCCCTTCTGGCCTGCATAGTTTCTGTTGAGAAATCAGCTGACAGTCGGATGGGTACTCCCTTGTAGGTAACTGACTGTTTTTCTCTTGCTGCTTTTAAGATTCTCTCTTTGTCTTTTGCCCTTGGCATTTTAATTATGATGTGTCTGGTGTGGTCCTCTTTGGATTCCTTTTGTTTGGGGTTCTCTGTGCATCCTGGACTTGTAAGTCTATTTCTTTCACCAGGTAGGGGAAGTTTTCTGTCATTATTTCTTCAAATAGGTTTTCAATATCTTGCTCTCTCTCTTCTTCTGGCACCCCTATAATTAGGATGTTGGTGCGCTTGAAGTTGTCCCAGAGGCTCCTTACACTATCTTCATATTTTTGGATTCTTTTTTCTTTTTGTTTTTCCAGTTGGGTGTTTTTTGCTTCTTCGTATTTCAAATCTTTGACTTGATTCTTGGGATCCTCTTGTCTGCTGTTGGATCTCTGTATATTATTCTTTATTTCAGTCAGTGTATGCTTAATTTCTAGTTGGTCTTTTTTCAAATCCTCCGGGGTCTCACTAAATTTATCAGCGGTTTCTAGAAAATTCTTGAAAAACCTTATAACCATGGTTTTGAACTCTATATCCAGTCATTTGCTTCCCTCCATTTCTGTCATTTGTGACCTGTTTCTTTGTCTCTGCATTTTTTATGCTTCCCTGTGTTGGTAGAGTGGCTTTGTGTGCTAGGTATCCTATAGGGTCCAGTGGCTCAGCCTCCCCAATTACCTGAGGTGGACACTCTTGGTGCATCCCTTTGTGGGCTTTGTGCACAGTCTTGTTGTAGTTAAGCCTTGATTGTTGTAGGTATCACTGGGAGGAATTGACCTCCAGGCCAATTGGCTGTGAGAATCAGCTGTGTCTATGGTGGGAGAACTTCTGTGCTGAAGACACCCTTCTGGGGCAAGACTTGCTTCATTGGGGCTTTGGTGCTTACTGAGTCTGCCCCCTGAGTGTGTCCCTTATGGATCTGAGGAGTTGTAATCTGGATGGTCCCACTCTGACCACTGGGTACACTGGCTCTTGGATCTAAGGAGGTGCTAATTTAGCCTCTGCCTGAGGCTACCCAGCAGGAGCTATGAAGAGATCTGCAGATTCCCCTTTCTTGTTTGGGGTTTGGAGGTGCCCAGATGAGGCCCAGCTGTGAAGCAATGCAAGCTGCTGTGGGGCCTTGGGCCTTCTCTTGGAAGTTCTGGGTCTGTCTGGCCCAGCTGCAGTTTGTTAGGTAATTTTCAGATTGCAAAGAGCCAGGGCATTCATATGCAAAAGCCTCTGTGCATAGCTTGGGTGGGGCGGGGTCTCAGGGAATCAACAGGGCAGAGAAAGCAGCTATGGCTGATCCTTAGCCCTGCCCTAAGAGGCCCTGCGTCTCAGTGTCCCGGTAATCGCTGCAAGCACCTCTGAGAGAAAGCCGCCCTCGAGTTCCGAGTTCTGCCCGCTGCCAGACAGTCCAGTTTCTCCTCGTATGAGTCTGGGTCCCCAGAGACTTCCCGGAACTGGAGTTCAGAGCAGTCGGTGGCTTGTGGCTCCCTCCCGATTCAAAAAGACAGCCGCATCCTCAGTTGCCAGCCCTTGTCGCGTGCGCCTCCGTACCTCCGCACTTTACTTCCGCAGCTCCTCTGAGTCTCAGTGTGCTTTTCTCTTTCCTTCCAGTTGTAGAATTTCCACTCAGCCAGCCTTCCTGTGGTTCTGGATGATGTCCGTTTTGTCTTTTAGTTGTATTTTTGAAGTTGTTATAGGAAGCAGCAATTTCCGGTGTTTACCTATGCCACCATCTTGGTTTCTCCCAGCCTACTGTTTTATATCTGTGTGATTTAAACATGTCACCCAAACTCACTGTGCTTCAGTTTCCACATTAGTAAAATGGGGCAATAGTAGTATTTTACTCATAGAGTTAGTGAAATAATTAATTACTATTATCACTATTCCCATAGTAAAAATCTGTGTGTGTGTGTGTGTGTGTGTGTGTGTGTGTGTGTGTATTTATTCTAGCTATGCAATGTACTTAGGAACCAGTCTTCCAATAATTTTGTAGATTTCATTTCCTAAACTTCAGTACTTGTTGGACAGTGAATGCATTACCACCACAGGTGATGGAATAAACAAGGGCGAGGGAGAAGTCAAGAATCATCTCCAGGGAGTACTGTCTCCTTATCGGGTTGCCTTCCTCTTCCACGAGCCCTTCCGTTGTTCATGATGACTCATTCTCTCACATGGAGTTCTGTGGGAGGTTACATAAGAAGTGGTGCATGTTAGCATTGCTCGTTTTTCATATGCTTATGTTTAATGAAAACAAAAACCCAAAAGTTGTTTTCTATTCAAAGTAGAACATTAACCTTCAAGATGTCCTGTAATGGTTTTTTCGGTTTCAGCTTTTTCCTGTAGCCAATTGCAGGCTCAGCCTCCCAGCAGCTCTCCCCACAGGCATGTCCACTTGTGACCTAAGAAAGTGCAATGCTCAGTATAACAATATGAATACAACAAAACATTGTAAAGATACTTTTAAGAAAAGGTGTTATTGCCACATTTGGATCATGATGCCACCTCAGTACATATGAAACACGATGTGATACATAAAAAAATCCAGTCTCCTTGTAACTTTTTAGAAGCCTCTCTATTGCATTAGTAAGAAACACCTGCATCAAAATAAACCTTAATTTATAAGACAGTCATTAGATCTTCATGCCATTTAAAAACTGTTATAATTTAAGTTGTAAGTATGAAAGAAGCAATTTATAAAATGGCTTTTTAGGGCCTTTGACTATTTCTTTTCCCCCAAACTGTGAGATACAGTTTATCAGCCACCAGGCACTGTTCTCCAGAGACAATCTCTGGAGATTCATCGAAGGACCTTCGCTCAGTGCAGGCATGTGCTTGTGCAAAGCGCCCGTTCCGAGCTCTCGTGCTGGGTTGTGGGCACAGCAGCAGACTGGTGGGGCTGATGAGTGGCCAGCAGTTGAAATAGTGTGCATTCTCTTCCAGTCCTGGCAGCTGCCGTGTTTGCCTTCCGAGCAGTCAACCTGATGGAGGTGACATCACTGGCTGCAGCTGAAGTAAGGATAAGTTTCACTCCGAAGGGATGGAAATAGCTCCTGAGGGCCTGCCAGCCTCAGGCACTCGAGTCTCAGATGCCTGAGACACACTTTACTCATAGGCTAATTTTTTTTAACGTGGGTAAAACCTGTAAGTTCTGAGCTAAGTAGTATTAGGTATTCAAAATTCCTTAATGATGTGAAAATAATCTTGTGAGAGAGTCATAAACAAGATTATTGTAGAAAGCCATTATAATCATTATGGGAAACACTATACCTAGTAATTTTAATAGAAACTATTGGGTCTTATGTTGTGTTTCCTTAGTAGTGTTTACATCCATGTGTGAAGTTCATAAAGAAAAACTAGCTGAGATAGTTAAAGGGCATGTGTTTGGACGATATACTAATGATAGATGAGCTTTCTTGGTTGTTTTTAATTGTGAGTTAATTACTTAAAGCTGGTTTCTTTTCAATAGTATACCTGAAACATGGTTAAACAGTGGCTTGCCATTTTACTGTATTTGTTATCTCTCGTAGAATTGTACGTTTTATCCTTAAAATAGCCGCCTACATTCTTTGTTTAAAGGGAAGAGGATGTTTATGCATCTTGCAACTGAATAAACATTAGTCCCATCTCGAAATGATTTCCTGAAGTCAGTTACCCCTTATACTACTACAACAGAATGAGGATTCCTAATGTACGTTTATTTATAGAAGCAAGTTGAAATGTTAGACCTCTTATAAACTCATGCTACCTTGTATATTTGAAGAAGGCTCAAGGCTAAAGTCCATGCTAGCATTTTGCACATGTTCTAACATTAAGCTACACAGAAAAGGACCATTGTAGCTTTATTACAGAGGTTAGGACACATCTGGAGAATTTAGAGGGTGCGTCGATGATGGCGTTTCTGTTGCCCCTTATTTCATAGGCTTCACTTTGCTGATGAGAATACTGAAATTAATAATTCTTTTTGTTTTTTTGTTTCAGGCAGTTCTTGCTGACCTTTCTACTTTAAAAGTTATGCCTCTTCTTCAGATTTTTTTGTTTGCTACTGTCACCTGATCTTCTTCAAGGTCACTGACAACACATAAAGTTTTTCATTAGAAGCTAATCATGAACTATGCAAACTGCATAAAACCAAAATCCACTTCGTATATAAGCCAATAAAGATCATGTTCCCTCCTCGGTTAAACAAACCTAAGTCATTTTTTGCTTTTTTAAAAAAGAACTCAGCACACCAAATATTGCACTGCATGCTGCTGATTTTCAAGAGAGAAGCAATAGACTGAACTTCTGGCGACTTGAGCGTCCTATAGATACAATCCTGACCTGTAAAAAGCATGCAACAACATATGCAATAAGAACTAAAGATGCTGTAATAAACTTGAAGAGGTAATGCAGCCTCTGGGACAATTCTCTTATGTCAGTTTGTAAATTTATCTCTAGATAATGTATTGTTTTATCTTATAAATTGCTCTTCACTAAAACCAGGGGTGGGGTAGGATGTGGGAAGACTTGAAAAAGATAACGCTTTTAAGTAGAAATTCACATGTGCTTTGGTGTTTTTAACAATGTTTCTTTCCCCAGAGATTTTCTAGATCTCTCTCCACTTTATTTCTCACTTAATGTTTTGTACTAGGGGAGGTCAAATACAGTTGTGTCCACCTGCCAGTATTGTATTCATTATTTCCTGGGGTGGGGGAGAAAGTCAAAATTATGGCATGATCTGTTCAAACTTCTCCACCTTCCATCTCGCGGCGATGAGAAGATGACACTGCTGAGGCCTGTTGCCAGATTCTGTTACTTTGGAGGGTACCTAAGCATTCAATGAAGGGAATGAAATATCAAAACCATATTCGCTTTTGCTGACAGTTGGTTTAATGAGATTTACTTCTAGGGAGGAGCAGCTGCGAGACCAGCAATAGATACTAGACATTCCTTCCAGAACTGACGTCATGCAAGGCTCAATCTTATGTTGGTCTTTATTGTAAGTGGAGGGTCTTATCATATATTACTTCCTAAAGGCCTACCATTTCTGTAATTTGGAATAATAGTATGAAAAAAAAGAAGTCCAAGACCATTCTTTTGATTTTAGGCTCAAATTCAAGATGCTGATCATTTTAACAAAACTCTAAATCAATATAGTGGAACCTTGTTTCTTGAACGTCTCCCATCTCGAACCATTTGCTTCTCAACCCGGCATCCCTTTCATGCTGATACTGTATGGTCAGTCACACATCTCTCAGGTGACAAGCAAAAGAGAGAATGCATGAATGAGTCAGTTTACCACTGTTAAAGTCTCAGGATATTGTGCTGTGAATATTTTGGGGGTTTTTGGCTTTTGTTGCTGCTCATATTATTGTTAAATTTCATTTTTTTACTGTACATTTTATTTCCTTTTTGTTAAATTTTCATTTACACTTCATGTCTTTTTTTGTTTTTAAAGTGCTTATTTATAGAATAAACAGTATCATAGACAGGTACTGTATATAAGAAAGGTTAAAACAGAATCATTTGGGGGTCTTGAATGGATTAATTCAATTTACATGATTTCTAATGGGAAAAAAATGATTCAGTTTTCAAACAACCTTCCAGAATGAATTAAGTTCAAGAAACAAGGTTTCACTGTACATCAATACTCTTACTGAATGCCTAAAATTGTATTGCTTTATCCAAATGTATTCATGAAACATTTATTTATATAGTATATATTAAGAAATACATGAGGCTTAGCACAGTACTGCAAGTGTGGTGGAGTTTGGTATAGCTAGGTATTTGAAAATATTATGTGCTTTTATTCATCAGGTACTTACTGACTTACTAAGGACTAAATAATTTATTCAGCGGTTGATTCCTAATAAACCCATTGTATTGTTTTTGCAGGTGATGCAGTTAGGTCATATGCTTTGCCATTCTGTGTGTGCAAATGCACACTCACCCTGAAGATAATTATGCGCACACCTATGACTCTTATCTCCCTCCTTCTCTCTCTGAGAAAATGAGAAAAAAACATGTAAGGAAGAGAGAGAATTTTAAACGACTATGGTCAAATTTATACAGAGACTCCCATCATTGGCGTCTTTCTTTAGGAGAATATTCATAAGCCTTTTTAAAAGCAGCAGTCTCATGGTCTAGTAGAAAAACACTAGGCTGGATAGTTTTGTTTCTACCTATAAGTCCCTCGATAATTTACTCTCTTATCTGCAATTAGGGGCAGGCAGGGAGGACAGGCAGCAGGAAATTATCGTATTTGCTCTGTGTACCTTCCAGGATTAAGTAAGAGCAAATGAGAAAATATATTTGAAAGGGACTTTTTAAACTGCAAAGCACCAAGCAAATATAAAATGTTGGTAATTAATTTTAACTATGGCATTTTGAGGTCAAGTGGTAGAAGCTAATATGTGAAGACTGTCCATCCTCATTAGCCTCTGTATGGCTTTATTTGATAATGTGAGACTGTGTCTACAAAAAACAAACGTATCAGGGCATAGTAAGGTCCTTGCATTTGGGACAGGTGACTCCAGCCAGTCCTGGAGGCTGCAGGCATTCTGCTGCTGTCGCAAACCCCTCAGCCCTGCGCTGCTCTCGGATGCCTGTTAGAATACTGCATTCAGGGCAGTCGGCTGTCTTGCCCACTCCATCTCTAACTGCACCTCCTGCACTACCTCTGTTGGCTTCCTTCCTTCTGCATTCTCCTCACCGTCTCCTGCCATCCTTGAACACCTCCTCACATCTGCTCTGCCGGTGCTCACGAGGATCTGAGGGACCAGGGATGCTTATGTAATCATTCTACCTACGACATTGCACTGATGGTGAAATAGACTAAGAGACTAAGTTATATTTGGTTCTTCTGGATTTCAGTTCACCCACTAATGTAATATGTGTGACCTTTTAGAAGAGTTTATGAACAGTCTTCTTGATCAGAACATTTGGTAATGCAGCATTCTGGCTAATTGAAATTTCCAGCTTATCTTAGCTGCACAGCACCCCCGTACACTCAGCAAGTACTCTTTCTTTCTATTTCATAGAAAAAAGAGAGACCTTTAGCCTTAACTCCCTCGCAGCCCTCCACTTCACAACTTAGCTTTATCCCCCTTATACTTATCTCCTTCCTTCTTATCTCAGGAAAGGTCTACTCTATTCCCACAGCTCTCTACTAGTATATGCAGATTCAGTGGGCCACTTACATGCTTAAGTTAAATGGTGCCCCACTGCTTAACAGATAAAGTCCAGACCCTGTAGCAAGGCAGGGAAATTCTCTACAGCTCGGTCGATCCGTTGCTGTGCTCCCACACTGCTACGATCCTGTACTTCAGCCTCACAGATTACACACTACACTAATCCTCAACCAGCCAAGCCCATCCACTTTGTCTCGTCAGGAACTCCCTTTATCAAGGCCCCCCTCAAACACCTTCTCTATTGTGATGACACCCCAGAGCTGTCAATTAGAATTAATTAGGCCCTTCTCTTTGTTCTCATAAAACTATTCACCCACTCATGTGGTGCTTGGAATATTGAGTGATCGCTTTTTGTATACATGTTCTAATTCTCACATCACTTTATTCTCAAGTCAATTTCCATGGACTAGCTCTAGTATGGAATATGAAAGAAGAAAATTATGCTTATGCATTTGTATCCCAGGACTTGTTCTGAAAATTATCGGGATCTGTTTTTCTTAAAACATCATTTCTCCTGTTTTTTATTTGGTAATCTACCCCCTGCCCCATGAACTTCAGGTGAGGCTGACTCCTACCCCCAGGACTCTGGGTCTTCGCCACGCCAGTCACCATATGCTATCCTTCTAGCCACCGGGATTGCTTCAGGATCAGTGCAAAATCTAAGACCAGTGAGGACCAATGAAACTTGATTATGAGGCTTTGGTTTAATCATTCAGGGAAGCTGGATATAGGGTCTGGATCTGCTGCAGCCTAGGAATGGAAAGGGTGAAAAGCTGTTCTGTTGACCTGTTGCTGTCCAGGTCACACTCCACCAGTCTACCCCTGGACTGTTTCATCACAGGAGCCAAAAGATTCTCTTTGCAGCAGAGAGGATTCTAACTAAAGTACAGTTATTTGACCATTTAGGTGATCCATTGTATCATGAGAATCATTATTTGGTAGGACCCCTGTCTATATATTTTAAGCAAGAGGAATCTTTTTTAACTTTTTAAAGCAAGACCCAGCCTGACCTTACAAGCATAAATTCTATTTTCCAGACCTACTAAGCTACCTGAAGTACCTTGAACACATAGTAGGTCTCTCTGAGTTGGCCCTGCGCCCATACAGCAACTTGTGCTTGAAACGCCTTCTCGTTCCTCTTAACATAACTTACTTGTACCTCAAAACCCAACTCAGGTGTTGCATCAGGGAAGACTGCTTCTCTTATGAATTCCCCTCATATCCTAAATATACATAGTTGTGCCATAATCTTATACTATGTGATTGTCTTTCTCTTCTACTGGATTGTGACTCCTTAAGGCAAAAAACGGTTCCTTTCTCAACTTTATATCTCTAGAGCCTGGTGTAGTGCTTGCCCCATGGTGGGCTTTAATGTTTTCTGAATGAATGGATGAAATCATCTAGTAGCATAATCCACTCATTCTACTGATGAGGAAACTTGCTCAGTTCCAAATAATAACTTACTTGTCCAATTCACACAACTATTTTACCAACAAAGATTTGTGAGTTGTCTGGGAAGGTCCAAAAGGGAAAAATATTTTGAGTGAAAAAAAAACACACACGTGTAAATGCTTAAGCTCATGCAATATTTCTCATTTCTATCAACTTCACTAAGGTATAGTCTACGTAGAATAAAATGTGTGCATTTTAAGTATACAGTTCTCTAAGGTTTGACAAATGTATATTCCCACACCACCACTATCACAATAAGGCACAGAACTTTCATCACCTAAATCAATTCCCGTTATGCCCCTTCCCATTCAGTCCCCCATATACACATTCACTCCACACAACCACTGATATGCTTCTATCCCTAAAGATTAAACTGGTCTTTTCTAGAGGTTCATGTACATGGAATCATATATATCTATATATTTTTTTCTTTTGTTTTTGGCTTCCTTTACTCAGCATAATGTTTCAAGATTCATCCATGTTGTTGTATAATTAGTAGTCCATTTCTTTTTATCACTGAGTAATATTTCATTGTATGACTATTTCACAATTTGCTTCTATGTTATTGTTAATAGACATCCATGTTGTTCTTGTGTTTCAGTGTATTATGGATACAGCTACTATAAACATTTGTGCACAAGCCTTCATGTGGACATATATCTTCATTTATTTGGGGTAAATACCTAGGAGTGAATTTGTTGGGTCATATGTTAGCATAAGTTTAACCTTCCTAAGAGATCTCCAAACTCGTTCTGAAGTAATTCTACCATTTTGCATCCCCACTCACAGTGCAGAAGAGCGCTAGTTGCCCCAAGTCCTCACCAACTCTCACTATTATCATGTTAGCCATTCCAATAGGAGATTTCAGTTTACATTTCCTTCATTACTAATGATGTTGGGCATCTTTTCATACTTATTTTCCACTTACACATTATTCTTTTGTAAAGTGCTCAAATCTTTTGCCCAATTCTTTATTCTGGGTACACTGCCAGGTTGTAAATTTTTCTCCCAGCCTATAGGCTAGTCTCTTCATTTTCTTAA